CATTTGCATTTTTTCATTACTTGAATGAGAAGCGCTCAGTTTTAGCAAACTTAAAAGGATCTTTTGTGCTGAAGGTATAGAGTAGGGATAAAAATTGACCTGCTGCCAAACTTAAGGGACTATTTTAGTTAAGAACTCAATATTTGGTGAAGTAATTATCATCCTTGCCCATAAATTATCCCCTTTGCTTTTTATTTATGTAGTGGATACTAGATATTCATTTTTTACTCTTCTTTCAATTCAATGTTGTCGCTATACTAGACAAAACTCAAAGCTTACTTAGAGCCTAGAGGTCTACAGTTTTGGTTACTTTTATTGTAATTTATTGTTTGCAAACTATAGTAATGAAAACAGATGGATCAGTTTTTGATTCTTTATAAGACTTAACTTCCGGCCCAACCTTCATTGCAGGATTTCCTTGAGAAAACCAATGCAAAAGATGCATCTGGAAATGCTGTACTAGGAGACATTGGTGTTTATTTGCAACAAGAGGTTAGTGCTTCCCAGCTTACTTTGTGGGATTGTTGCTAGATACACCTTAAAAAGTCGCAATGCATGTTAGTGTGTACAACCTTATGTCATCCTGAGGATTTCATTCCTTCATAGTTTTCTTTTCATTAGGGAAATTCAAGTTACTTCACCATATTACTTCTAAGTGGTCTCTTTGTCCACATATGAGCGCAAAGCATGTGGTTCTTTATTTAATATTGCATTGGTATTCTTTTAAAGTTCTTTTTCATGCATCTCTTTCATTTGGATTTTGAATCTTTTTGAGATTTTTATTGGGGTTCTTGGAGAAGCTTTTAGTTGGATATAACTCTTTTGTATGGTCTCTTATATTGCACATGAGAATCTTGAAACTTTTGTTCTGGAATTTCTAAGAAGAAAATACTTACCTGAATACCAATTCATTAAGAATAACCGATAATTGCATATTAAGCTGCTATGACTGGTGTCCTTGTTTCGTTCAATATATGAGGATATCTTCAGTCACTTTTTGGACTGCTGCTCCTAGTATCTAATTGGGGTTGTCATCTCTTTCACTCTGCCTACATGAGCTTCACAATGCACAGCCATTCTCAAGCTAGGATACAGGAGAAGCGTTGTGGCAGGTTGACCACCAGTGTAATAGTGAAATCATTATAATCCACTGAATGCTATTGGTAATAAGCTAATACAGCATCTGTATAACGTTCCCCAACTCTTTCTTGAGGTATTGTCGATTGATTGATTCTTAAAACACCGTACCTGGCAATAGAAATTTCCTTGCACATGAAGGCTCATAGCTCACTTTCTTATCGTTCTTATTATAAGAATTCATGATAATATGCCTGGTCTCTGACAGATTAAAAAGTACTTTAAGGAGCTCGGACAGACAGCTGATGTGAAATACATAGATCCTACTTACATGATCCGTGCATGCCGTGCAAATGCTTCAGATGGTATTCTGTGCACCGTACTTGGGCAAAATGCTGTAAGTCCTTCAACGGGGAATTAGATATCTCCTTCTTAACTTGTATTTTCCGTGATTGAGACATTATTCAACCATATATTTATTCGATATACACGTTATGTCTTGCCAGGTTCACGGTGCATTTGCTGGATATAGTGGTATCACAGTGGGTATATGCAATACTCATTATGTCTACTTTCCAATTCCAGAAGTCATCTCTAAACCCAGAGTTGTCGACCCTAACAGCCGTATGTGGCATCGTTGCTTGACATCCACAGGCCAGCCTGATTTTCTTTGAATCATGAGAAAACTCATTTTATACTTCAGATATCTATCATAATGTAAATTAGACAAGCAGGGAGCCAAATTGATAACGTTTACGGCTTTTCCTGTCCCATTTGTTCAAGAAATAACACGGAAAATAGTATTTTCCAATTTTTTTTCCCGGCATAGATTGTTTTGATGCCAGTTCAGAAGGGCATAATTTATAAAATGAAGCTTTGACAGAGAGTAAGAGTAGCATTTTCATTTGTTCCTCACATTCTGTAAAGGGTAAAACAAATTTTATTTAACCTAAACCCCTTTTGTACCATTTGAGTATATCATCAGTTATCTTCATTCATCTGTAATTCACAACTTCTTCTATGGAACTATTCAATAATTTATGACATGAGAAAGTTGAAATTTATATGTCCATTCATGAATATACTGGGCACTGAATGTGATTTGTTATATTATTCAGATATTGAAGAAAAGTATCCGTTAACTATCCGAATCTCTATTAGAAACAATCTCTGTACTTCTAAAGTAGGGGTAAGGTCTGCGTACACTTATGGTATTCTAATACGGGTGCCCGACATTGAATGCAGTTTTTTTTTTTAAAAAGAAACCGTCGCCTGAGAGATTCGAACTCTCGCGGGGAAACCCCATATTAGTAAAATAGTCATATATTAAAACCAGTAGACAGAAATTAACTTGTAGCAACAATAATATTACATCAAACTCTGTTTCACGATCAAAACATAAAAATTACACTCATACATACAATCAAAATACAGGATACACTCTCGAAAATCAACTTGAATACATCGGAAAAACTGAAAAGAAACAACATAGAACAATTAAGGTAAGCCAATACTACTAATATAGTAGAATAAAGGTAGGGGTGGCAAATGAACATTTTGACTTGAATTTGCGCGGATCAAGATAGACTGAATCAATAAATAAGTCATTTTTGCCACCCCTAGATGGACTCTGCAAAGATAACTATATATTAGTTGGATGGAGGAGGTGAAAATGTAGGAATGTTTGGAAGTGATGGCATGTTAGGCAGAGGATTCATGGTTGGCAATGGTGGCAGAGTCATTTTCGGGACAACAGAGGGAAATGTGGGCAAAGATGCAATACTTGGCAATGGTGGTAATGTGAGTGGAAAGTTGGGCAATTGTGGCATTGTTGGCTTAGGCAATGATGGGATCGTAGGCAAGTTGGGAAGTTGTAGTAGGCTACGAGCACCATGACTCGTCGATATGCTTGATAAGGACAACAATGCTACCATCACAAAAATAATTGAGTAGTTCATGGAAACAGCCATTGTGTTAATTTTCTCTAAAATTGTTTTGTTTGCACAAGGAAATTAAGATGTGTTTATGAGTTGAGTTTGATGATTTACTAAAGGGTATATATAGGGAAAGTTCTTTGGTGAAATGTTGGGTGTAGAAGATAGGCCTTTTAAATTCTAAATACTCTATGGTTAGTTAATCTTCCAAAAGAACATGAACAAACTATTAGGTCAACAAGTTTTTTTTAGAGTGGTTATGCATAGGTGAAATTTGTATCAACCATATTTGGTTGACAACTGAGTATTCAGAACTCACTAGCTAGACTAATTCAGATTCATGTCGCGTAGGACCCGTTAAGGGGAGCCTTTAATTCCTTCCAAGGAATTCATTTATTCCATAACTCGAGCCCAAAACCATTGGTTAAGGGTGAAAGTGTGCCGACTATTCAACCACACCCTTGTACTTGTTTATTTTATTTTTTTAAAATTGTTGTTCAACTACCTAGGAGATATGTTTTCTTGCCTATTTGCCTAATATATGATGCTCAAATAACTAATCAGCTCAACAATTTTTTTAAGTCTTTTAACACATTTCGCTAAACAATCACAAGGCAACCAAGTTTGGTAGTTTTACTCTTATTCAGAGTCTTTTCTCACAAGGATCGATCGTTAGATTGCAAAATTAATGGATAAAATTTCTCCCCATCGGGGTTTATATCAAACCAACGAACGTAACGGTTTTAACTAATGTTTTTTATCTTAGAAAGTCACTTAATTTTATTTTATAATACAAAACACTCAACTAATAGTAATTATCTCAAAAAGTCATTCGACTTTCTTTTCTAACAGAAAAAGTCGCTCAACTATTGTCATTTCACTTGACGATATTTTCGGTAGATATTGTTGACATGGATAATTTATTTTAAGCTGAATTGAAAAAAAGTGATTCATTCCGGTAAAATAAAAAAAAGTGGGTCAGTTTAATGTTCAGCATTAGTCGAGTGACTTTTGCTTAATAAATAAAATTTAAGTGACTTTCTGAGATAAAAATTGTTAGTTGAGTAACCGTATGAGAAATTAACTCCTTTTTAACACTTAAATGATATGCATTTTCACCTACATTGTTTGATTCTTAAGGTCACTACATAAAAAATAATTATTAGTGACAATTAATTAATGATAATAACTTAATTATCACTAAATATGTATTTTTAGCGGTAATTAACACTCTTTGTAAATGTCCCTAAAGCCTATAGTGACATAAATATTGGATCTAATGACAATTAATTACTAATGCCGGTAAAATTTTTAGCACTCTTTGTTAATGTGTGTATATTTATTGTCGTTAAAAGTTGTTTATGTTGTAGCGTTAGTCTAATTAGGTGTAACTCCGAGTACAAATAAGTATTTACCAAATCAAATTATATGATCATTCAAATTTTATTTTTGAGTAATCTAAACTAATGCACATGAAAATATACTGCTTTCTAATATAATTTGTAGAGAAAAAACTTCTTAATGGTCCTAGTCTTATTTGATTTTCACTTACATTTCTTGTTCAACCAAAAAATGTTACAAGAAAGGCTTACTCCAATTAAGGGTAGACTTACACCAAATCAATGCAATTTACCATAATTAAAAGATACTTTAATTATAGTTAAATCATAGTTGCTTATACCTTAACACATATCATGCATTCATTGGTTTAGTATAAACACCAGGTGCATATAAGTTTTATGCTACTGTTCTACTAAAATCAACCTTGTCAAAGTACAAAATGTTAGCTGATTTTAATTTTTCCACATAATTTCTTAAATCCTTTTCTCAGTAGTGTCAATTCACTATCAATTCTCTTAATGAAATTCCATTTGATTGTGGAACAACAGTTATGCTCAAATTTTGTTCGAAAAAATGTAGATACGTTGATTTTCGCTTATCAAGAAAATATATTGGACAAATACAGATGAATCACTAATAGACACTGCATTGGGTAAACACAAATGACAATCAATATTGTATATAAATGATACAGTACATAAAAGATCAAAATAACAATGTGGCAAGAAAGGTAAAAATCACGCGGTTGGAAGCTGCAAGATTAGTTAGACGATGGAGGAGGTGAAAGTGTTGGAATTGTAGGAATTTTGGGAAGTGATGGTATGTTGGGCAGAGGATTTGTGGGCATTGGAGGCAGAGTCATTTTCGGGACAGAGGGCAAATTAGGCAAAGAAGGTAGAGGTGACTTAGCTGTTGGAAGAGTTGGCAAAGATGCAACACTTGGTAATGGTGGCAATGTTGTGGGCAAGTTTGGAATATTTGGTAATTGTGGCATTGTTGGTTGAGGCAAGGAAGGGATCGTAGGCAAGTTGGGAAGTTGCAGTAGGCCACGAGCAGCATGACTAGTCGATATGCTTGATAAGGACAATAATGCGACGATCAACAAGAGGCTGATTGAGCAATTGCTAGAAGCAGCCATATTTGATGTAATTTGCAAGATTGCTTTGTTTTTACAAGGAAATTAAGTTGTGTTTTGATTTGAGTTGATGAGTTTGATCATCACTAAAGAAGAAGAGTATATGTATATATAGGGGATGTTGTTGAGGGAGTAGAAGGATTTGGTGAAATGTTGGGTGAAGAAGCATAAACTTTAAATTCTAAATTATAATCTATACATTGTTAGTTGATCTTTTTGAATGTTGGTTTGAGGAACATGCACAAACTTTTAAGTCAACAAGTTTTCTAAGAGTAGTTATGTATAGATGAAATTCGGATCAACCATATTTGGTGGACAATTGATTATTTAGAACTCACTAGCCAGACTAATTCAGATTCACATCGCGTAGGACCAATGGAAGGGAGCGCTCCCTTCCAAGAATTTCTTGGATGAAAGTATCCACACCATTTAACCACACCCTTGTAATTGTTTATTGTTTCTCTTTTATTTTGCTAATACTGTTTGTCTGTTGATCCATCCAATGTTGTTCAACTACCTAGGAGATATGTTTGCTTGCCTAATCACTACTAAAAAAACAGTGAATACCGACCTAAAAATTTCCGACCTCAAATGGAGGTCGGTATTTACAACTAGTCGGTTTTTATGCAAAATAAAGAGGGAAAACCAAATTCCGACCTCCGGAGGTCGGAATTTTCCCGGAAAAAATAAATAACAATAAAAATACCGACCTCATGAGGTCGGTATTTTTTATATTTAATTGAGAAAATAATACCGACATCAAGAGGTCGGTTTTTATTATAATTCATTAAAAATTCCGACCTCCTGAGGTCGAAATTTTTTCTCAATTAAATATTTTATAATTCCGACTTCCAAATGTCGGTAGTATGTAATTAAAATACCGACCTCATGAGGTCGGTATTTTTATTTCATCTAATTACTATTAATTAAAGCGACATCCGGAGGTCGGTATTTTTATTTCATCTAATTTCTATTAATTAAAGCGACATCCGGAGGTCGGTATTTTTATTTCATCTAATTACTTTTAAAAGCGACATCCGGAGGTCGGTTTGCGGAAAGCGTGAAAACCAAATTTCGACCTCTGGAGGTCGGAAATTTTCTCGAAAAAAATGAATTACAATAAAAACCGACCTCTTGATGTCGGTATTAAAAAAAAAAAAACAATATTTTATCTCAATAGGTTTTGTGTAAAATAAAAAACAAAAAAAATTATAATACCGACTTCCGTATGTCGGTAAAATTAAATATTAAAAATAAATTAATATAAAATACCGACCTCATGAGGTCGGTATTTTTTATATTTAATTGAGAAAATAATACCGACATCAAGAGGTCGGTTTTTATTGTAATTCATTAAAAATTCCGACCTCGGGAGGTCGGAATTTTTTCTCAATTAAATATTTCATAATACCGACTTCCGAATGTCGGTAAAAATTAAATAGTATGTAATTAAAATACCGACCTCATGAGGTCGGTATTTTTATTTCGACTATTAATTAAAGCGACATCCGGAGGTCGGTATTTTTATTTCATCTAATTACTTTTAAAAGCGACATCCGGAGGTCGGTTTGCGGTTTGCGGGTAAACCAAATTCCGACCTCAAGAAGTCGGAATTTTTCCCAAAAAATAAATTACAATAAAAACCGACCTCTTGATGTCGGTATTATTTTCTATTTTGATTTAATTTTATTTAAATCGTTTTCCGGAGGACCATTTTGTGTTCTTAAAATTTAATGTGATACATATATATATAGATGTTTAATTAATAAAATCAACCTCAAGAGGTGAGTTTATATTAAAATAAGTATATATATAAATAACAATATTTTATTTTTTCTCAATAGGTTTTGTGTAAAATAAAAAAATAAAAAATTATAATACCGACTTCCGTATGTCGGTAAAATTAAATATTAAAAATAAATTAATATAAAATACCGACCTCATGAGGTCGGTATTTTTTATATTTAATTGAGAAAATAATACCGACATCAAGAGGTCGGTTTTTATTGTAATTCATTAAAAATTCCGACCTCTTGAGGTCGGAATTTTTTCTCAATTAAATATTTCATAAAACCGACTTCCGAATGTCGGTAAAAATTAAATAGTATGTAATTAAAATACCGACCTCATGAGGTCGGTATTTTTATTTCGACTATTAATTAAAGCGACATCCGGAGGTCGGTATTTTTATTTCATCTAATTACTTTTAAAAGCGACATCCGGAGGTCGGTTTGCGGTTTGCGGGTAAACCAAATTCCGACCTCAAGAAGTCGGAATTTTTCCCAAAAAATAAATTACAATAAAAACCGACCTCTTGATGTCGGTATTATTTTCTATTTTGATTTAATTTTATTTAAATCGTTTTCCGGAGGACCATTTTGTGTTCTTAAAATTTAATGTGATATATATATATATATATATATATATATATATATATATGTTTAATTAATAAAATCAACCTCAAGAGGTGAGTTTATATTAAAATAATTATGTATATATATATATGTGTGTGTGTGTGTGTGTATATATATAGATGTATATATTATATATGTATATGTATACATCTATATATATATGTATATATATAGATGTATACATATACATTTATATATATATATGTATACATATACATTTATATATATATATATATATATATATATATATATATATATATATATATATATATGTTTAATTAATAAAATCAACCTCAAGAGGTGAGTTTATATTAAAATAATTATGTATATATATATATGTGTGTGTGTGTGTGTATATATATATAGATGTATATATTATATATGTATATGTATACATCTATATATATATGTATATATATAGATGTATACATATACATTTATATATATATATGTATACATATACATTTATATACATTTATATATATATATATATATATATATATATATATATATATATATATATATATATATATGTTTAATTAATAAAATCAACCTCAAGAGGTGAGTTTATATTAAAATAATTATGTATATATATATATATGTGTGTGTGTATATATATATATATGTGTGTGTGTATATATGTATATATATAGATGTATACATATACATATATAATATATACATATATAATAAATTTATATATATATATAGATGTATATATTATATATGTATATGTATACATCTATATATATATGTATACAGATATAATAAATTTACACACACACACACACATATATATATATATGTAATTTAATAAATTAAACTTCTGTTGATGTGTAGTTAAATTATATATATATAATTATACGACACATCAACAAAAGTTTAATTTAATAAATTTACATACACACACACACACACACACACAGAGATATATATATATATATATATATATATATATATATATATATATATATATATATATATATGTTTAATTAATAAAATCAACCTCAAGAGGTGAGTTTATATTAAAATAATTATGTATATATATATGTGTGTGTGCGTGTGTGTGTATATATATATATATATGTTTAATTAAAAAAATCAACCTCAAGAGGTGAGTTTATATTAAAATAATTATGTATATATATGTGTGTGTGTGTGTATATATATATATATATAATTTAACTACACATCAACAAAATTTTAATTTAATAAATTTACATATATATATATATATATATGTATATATATGTATATATAGAGAGAGAGATGTATATATATGTATATGTATACATCTATATATATAGATACATATATATACATATATACATCTATATATATATGTAAATTTAATAAATTACATATATATAGATGTATATATATGTATGTATACATATACATATATTATATGTTGATGTGTAGTTAAATTATATATGTTTAATTAATAAAATCAACCTCAAGAGGTGAGTTTATATTAAAATAATTATGTATATATATGTGTGTGTGTGTCTATATATATTTATAATTTAACTACACATCAACAGAAGTTTAATTTAATAAATTTAGATATATATATATAGATGTATATATGTATATATATATATATATATATATATATATATATAGATGTATACATATACATATATAATAAATTTACATATATATATAGATCTGTATCTATATATATATATATATATATATATATATAGATGTATTATTTTAAAAAATATCGACATCCCGAGGTCGGTAAATTAAAGAATTCTCTTAAAAAAAGAATGACAATATAAGTCTTCCTCCTAATTAAACACTAACTCTCAAAACCTAGTCCACTTTCACTCCCAACTGCAGATCCACCCCTGACCCACCCCATCGGCGCCGATCCCCACCACCCATCCCCGACCGGCGCCACGCCACCTCTCCGACCGGCGCCACGCCGCCATCCCCCACCGCAGCCACCCTCCTTCGCAGCAGCAGAGGACGTCGCGGCAGCTGCAGAGGGAGTGACGCCCAGCAGCAGGAGGTCGCGCGCCTCCCTCCCGACCGGCGCCGCCTCCATTCCGACCGGCGTCGCCTCCATCTCGGCCAGCACCTCCATCCCCGACCTTCTTAGTGAAGGTGAATTTTTAGAACCTCCATAATAAATTACTTTTGTTTCTATTTAGTTGAAGTATCTCAAAATTAGAGTACTAATATACTTAGTTTTATTGATTGTTAGTTTGATTGATTGTTAGTTAGTAAGTGAATGATTTAGGGTTTTTGATTGTTAGTTTGAATTAGGTATTATTTGATTGTTAGTTTGAATTAGGATTATTTGATTGTTAGTTTGTGTTTGTTGATTGTGAATTGAAAATTTTAATGTTAGGGTTAGTTTGAATTAGGGTATCTTAGGATTTGTTTGAAATTCGGTATTTCTTAAGTTAATTAGTTTGATTTTGGAATTGTAAGATTAGATTGAATTAGGGTATTTAAGGAGTTGTTTGAACTTGGGTATTATTTGAGTTAGTTTGAATTATTATTGAGATTTTAGGACTAATAGTTTGAATTTGGGATTAGGAATAGCTAGCTAATTTGAATTTAGGATTTTAAGTACTAGTTAGATTTTGGGATTTTAGGGCTAGTTTGAATTTGTGATTTTAAAGATTAGTTT